TGGGGCGGCCGTCGGAGCGGCGTGTTGGCGGAGCTGCCTTCGTGGTGAGTAACACCTCAAGTGGGCTGAGGCTTTGCCGCGGTGCCTTCGGCCTCAGGGTTGGCCGAGCGAATACGGAGGCGAGTGCCGCGTTACAAAGGGCGAGGGAAGGCAGGTGGAGCGTGGAGCCACTGAAGGGGCGGTTTAAGGCGGTGTGGCAGGGGGGGGCACTTTTCCCCTGCTTCTCCGGGAGGGGAGCACCGTGCAGCAGCACCCCGGCACGTGCTTCGGCGAGCGGGCGGTGCCTGGATCCCGCCGCTTGCCAGCGAGACTGGAGGTAGCGGACTAACTAATCGAAGAGGAAATCTTCGCTCTTCCTTTCACGCTTCTGGGCGGAAAGCGAGCGGGAGGCGAGCAGCGTCCCGGGAAGACTCGCTCAGTGCAGCCGCGGGAGCGAGGGAGACGGGGTGGGGGCTTTTCCCGTAGAAACTGCCATGGCCGGTGTGCCGTGCGAAAAGGTGCCGCTTGAGCCTGTGAGGCTCGGACAGCAAGCGGCCACCTGAATCTTCATCAGCTGCGGTTCCTCCGGGCGTGGCGGGGCTCTCGCTCCTGCCCGGAGCGGGGCGTTGCTGAGGGTCGGGTTCCTTGCGGGACACAGCGTGGTGCCGTGCCCCCGGCGGTGAGCTGGAGTCCCGGGCCTGTGTAAATTCGGGGCACGGAGCGGGTCTGGGAGGGTTCCGTGTAGTCTTCGTTCGTATGCTGGCGCAGCTTTGCATTTGGGGGTTATTTTTGTTGTGTTTGTTTCTTTCTCCCATCCTCTAGATAAAAAAAAAAAACCCAACACCACTCTTAAAATCACCTTATGTTCTGGAACAGTAAAAAAGTTATAGAACTTAGCAAAACCTAAATATCCGCTCTGAGGTGTGTTTTTTTTTTTTTTAGCGTATTTAGACAAAGTAGATACATTTTACTTTTTCTTTTTTAATTGCTGGCCGATAATGTGTTCCTGTCATGCAAGCAGACTGATAAGGAATTGCTTTTTTCCTGTAGAAAGCCCTGTAGGACTTATGCAAGGACCCTCCATGGTTGTGCTCTCTTATCTTTTAACTTGCAAATTTGAACTCCGGGTTCTTTTATCTGAAAGAGTTTGAGGCAAGTAAAAGGAATTCTTGGGGACGGGGGAGGGAAGCTATTTTTTCTGTTTTGCTGGGGCCGGGGAAAGGTAGGAAGGTGCTTTTCTAATTTCCAGACACATGTGCTTTCTCCACCTGGTAGGGCTTTTCACAACACAATGAAATGAAAATCGGGTCTCGTGTGGTTACCTGCAGTTTGTTTCTTTGTCCTATTACCCTGGTAGATTCAGGACTGTGAGACTGATAGTGACCGTTCTTGGGAAATCCCGGAGAAGGGGTTACGTGTGAGCTGTGTGCCTCTCTGTTGCTCCCCCGGTATCTGATAAAGTATATTCTTCGTAATTTAGAGAGGTGTGTTTCTGGGAAAACTATAACCAATTATTTCCGTCTGACTGTCGGTGCAGTGTGTAAGAGCCTCTCGGCATAATTCGGTTGCGCGTTGCTTATTTTTTGTTTGTTTTCCTTTTAGACCGTATTCTGGCAAAGGTCTTTTGCGTATAACTACTCTGGTTCTCTGGCAAATGGCTGGAGCACTTGCCTTACACCCGGGAGTTCTGCCTTTTTTTTTTTTTTTTTTTCTCTCAATACAACTCCTTTCCTAAAACTCCAGTAAAATGACTGCTGTAGTGTATTAGCCTTGTTTGTTCCCAAAGCCTGCACCGGGCAGTCATCTAAACTGTAAACACCAAAACGCTGTATTGTTAGCTCGGAGTCTGTCAGGCTTCTGTTTAGACGTTGGATTTGTTACCATCTGCCTCCTTAGTCATTTGGGCTGTGTGAAGGAAGCCCTCTGCCTGCCTGTGAGGTCAAGCATGGATCTGCAGGCAATCGCCCGTGATTTCGGCTTGCAAAACTTAGGTACTTCTTTCTTCAGCTTCCTAAGAGAAGGCAAGTCAAAGATTTGAACACGTTCCTGAAAGGGTTCTACTTTGCACTAGAGAAAGAATGATCATCTTAGTGCTGTGGTGAAGAAATGTGGGGTTTTCCTTTCTTTCCGAGGTGGGCTAGGATGCACGGTGTGACATGCAGTAGAGGGGCCAGCATTGATGTGGATACACTGCATCTTGGGGATCTAATTTCTAGGGGCATGTGATGTTTGGGAGAAATACCGGTTAGGTCATTATTTCTAAATAAATTCATCTCCACTTTAGAATGAAAAATGGTGTCATTTCACCTGTGTGCATGTCCTCGTTCCGGATTCCTTGCTTTTTTTGTGTATCTTAGATCAGGATCTAAAACTAGACCTTAGACTAGGCCAGGATCCTGCACTTTTCTCCAAGCAGTGGAGACTATAATCATAATTACATCACTACCTGACCCAGTTAACTTTTTTCTTTAAAGTTTCTCAAGTTAATACAATCTTTATTTGAACTGGAGTTACTGCCACTTCCTTGGTTTTCCCTGGGTCATTACTTCTGATGCTTAAAATAACTACAAACTCTTCTGTACAATTACGTTTATGCATAACTAGATGTGGCATTGGAATTTTTAATATTCTTTTTCAAAAATAAAATATCTTGTTTCATAGTTCAGGGTAATAGTTAAAAGTTGCTGCATGTTTCATTAGTTTGGGAATGTTTTTACTGGACATTTACTTCCTGCTTTCCAAACCCCTATCTCTCACAAGAACAGTTGAACTATAATATTCTTTTCTTCTTGATTCCACTTTTACTTTGAGTTTGGGTTTTTTGGTTTGTTGAGGTTTTTTTGTTCAATTTAAAATAAAATGTAAAATGGTCATTGTTAATGCACAAGATGTATTTAACACCTCATTTCTATTTCATGACAGACGGAAAATAACTCAGGATGAGCAAAACCAACAATTTTGACATTCAAAGTCTAGGTAAGTAAGGTTTTATTAAATAGTTATATGTGCAGATTAAGGATTTCTGTAATACCAATTATAAATTGGTTTATTTGGACTCAAAGAACAAGTGGAATTTTAGTCATCAAGTTGTGTTGTAACCCCTTGTCTCAGGGCATGAAAAAGAAATAACTTGTAAACTTCCTCAGGTTTGTTTGCTGTAATTGAAATATTTAAAAATAGTCTTTTTTTGCAAATGTTTTCATAAAGTAAACTTGGGAATTCAGCTGCCAAATCACACACAGTTGTATTTCAGATATATCATTCAAGACTTTGTTAGGCTAAAGCAGTACCTCTATTCTTGTCACTACTATGACTGTTCTTGATGTTAAAATATTGAAAATGTATATCTGTTGTGAATTGAAGGTAAGATATTAAATGTCTGTGGAATTATGTTAGTGATTAGGAACTGCAGAAATGGGGACATCCTCAAGATTTTTAGTGGACTCCACTGTTGTCTAAAATTCTTGAATTTTATGAAACTAGCATACATTTAAAAGCACTGGAAACATAGGACTTGGTACAGTCAGGATATCACGCATCTGCTTTTCATAAAGGTTATCACAGGCATACAAAGGAACAGTTAAGTTGCTTCATGGATTCTAACATGGTGATGTCTCTATGTGCATTACTAAAAGCACTTATGACATACTTCACATGCATGATTGGCCATTTGATAATTGTCTTTGGGTGTTTTGGGAAGAACATTTCAGCTAGGAGCACAGTTGGCTTGAGAATTTATCTTGGGTGATAGCCCTCTCTTGAATCAGCAGGCAGGTGGAACTGGTGAAGTATCTTCTTTTTAGGAACAAATAGTGTCCTCCTCTGTATTTACAACATTCTTCTCAACACAAATCCAAAATAGCCTTATACTAGCTACTGTGGGGGGGAGAAACAACAACAACAAAAAAACTATCTCCTAGCCAAAACCAGCACAAAGAGAGAGGTGTGTCTACTGACCTTTACCCTGTAATCTACTTCAAGATGATTGTGATTAAAGGAGATGAAAGTTACTGCTCTACAGCTGACCCATAGTAATTCCTGTACATTCACTATGATTATAAACATGATTCTATATTTTAGCCTGTGTTCTCTGTGGGCGGACAGATGACTGCCCCCAAAAGTATGGAGAAAAAAGGACCTATATGGAATACAATCTCACTGTTCACTATTACTGTTTGGTAAGTATGTGGTATTGCTCTTGGAGCTTGTCTGTTTTAACTGGGGGGAAAAAAAAGTAAATAATTAAAATTTATAATTTACTTATATTTTAAATATGTGCAACAAGTATTAAATGATGATGATAACTGGTCCAAACAGTTGTTAAACCATAAATTGTAAATCTTGACCTGTCAGCTTGAACCTTTAGCCTTGAAGGCTTGTACTTGTCAGGTGTAGCAGATGAAATAAATCCCAACAAACCTTTATTCAAAGCTAAATTCTGTTCATGATCCATTTAAATGAATTACTTAGTTCTCTGAACCTATCATAGCAATGATGGTACAGGCTGAGAGAAAGGGAACAGATTGTACTTACACACTTGCTTCTGTAAGAGAAGTAGTTTCAAAATTTAGAATGTGAAAATTCCACCTTTTGTGGAAAAACTGAAGAAAAGTGATGTGTTTTTCTCATTAGTTTGGCTGTGAGTTATTCTCTAATGTTACATAGGACACACTGACACTTAAATAGTCCTGCTTTTCAGTTTAGTAATACATTGCTACTGATCATATACAGCCACAGTATTGCTATTTAGTGAAAGCTTATAATTTGAAGAAAACTACAGATCTAAGATACAGTTGAGTACCTTTTTTTATCATACTTGACTCTTCCAAGATTCAAATTCTTAAAGGTATATTTAAACTCCCTTTCAAACTTTAAATATTTTGCACGTCTTTAAAATATTGACTACTTTTTAAAAAAACCTTCTATTTTTGTTTACTAATAGTTTGAAATTTTTTTCCTCTAAGTTTAAAAAAAATACAGTCTCAAATATATCAGGGACAATTTGGGGTGTGTGTTTGTTTTGTTTTTGTTTTTTTTTTTCCCCAACCAGTTCTTTAAAGATTGTGTTGATTGTAGATGGCTTAATAGGTTGGATATTGAATTCTTTAAAGACTAGGCAGGGTGGATGTTTTCTAAAATTACATAGATATAGGGTTTTTTTCTTAAATAAATTTTAAGCAACTAGAAGCATCTTTAGGTCTGTTTGTGATAATTGTCTCGTTTATAAGGCCATATGGAAGGATAGGAAAAAGTCCTTTCCTGATGGAGTGGAACAGCTAGGAAAGGGCATCCTTGCAAAACTAAGCCTTATCATAAGACATTTTTACTGTGTTGAGCTTCCTGCAGTCATCTTCTAGGTCTTCGTCCCTGCTTCTTTTAAAAAGAAACTTCTGTGATTATAATTATATATATGGTGAATATTGTATAAGAAAAGAGCTCCTCTACAAAGAGGCTGGTTAATGGTGCAGTTTCACTTTTCTTTGTCAAAATGTCGCACACTTAGAAAAAAATATATTCTTAACTGGTTCTGCTATAAAAGTTTGCATTTAAAAGTTTACCTTTATTTGACTAAAATGTTGATAAAACTCTGTAGCTAGAAAATGTTACTATGTTAAAATTATAAAATGAGAACTATGAAATGAGATTGTAAAGAAAACAGGTGGCATGAATTTGTGAAACTATTTAGTTATTTGAAGTTTGTCATGTAACTGCCTTACTCAGTAACTTTAAGTTACTTGATTCTGGTTTTATTTAATTCTTCTCTAAAGTGAATTGCTTTTCCTCTTAGGTTGCACTTCAATACAGATACTTCCTACTGTGCTTCATTATCTCCACAGCACAATTGTCATTCACATTAACTAAACTAATTTAATTTTACTTCCTCTGAAGCTTTATATGCTGAAAGTAATTGTTTGATAATTATCTGAATAGTCCGTGTACTTCAAAAAGGAAGGTAAAATGTACCATCATGGGCTCTAGAGTGAGACATAAGACTTTGATGTTATGAAATACTTATTTTCATGTTACTGGTTACTGTTGCCTATTGTGTCATGTCAGGCAAAAAATATATAGATGTTTTGGATGAATTTTTAATCATTAAAATGTTTGCACACAAGCTTTGTAAGACTAAACTTTGACAAACGCAGTAGGTAATTTTAAGTCTATATAGGTGAATGTTTTAAAAGAATGTGTTTTTCCTAGTTGATGTCAAGTGGCATTTGGCAGAGAGGGGAAGAAGATGAAGGTGTTGATGGTTTCTTAATCACAGATATTAGAAAAGAAGTAACTAGAGCTGCAAAACTGGTAAGAATGTAAATATCCCCTTTGGTATTTGGGAGGGATGTGGAGTAACTTTTCAATGCACTTAGTAGTATTGCCTGTGGGGTTTGGTTTGTTTTCGTTCTCTAATGGGCAGTGCGCTGAGCCCATTCAAGCATCTGAATTTTACATTTAAGTAACAAGTATATTGTGTTCATGGAAGCCACAAGGGACAATAAAACCTGCAGAATTTTGCTAATATTTTTTTTTCTGGGTATGTTGCAGATAAATGAATAAGAGCAAATTACACATGCATAATATCTCATGACATTATGCTGAGCCTCAAGTTGATATTATATAATTTCATAGATGCAAGTGAACTATAGGAACTGGTAAAATACCTTGTACTTTGGCTTATGTGTGTCACAAGTCTACGTGCATATAAACCAATACATAATCAAAGTCTGTGAAATAACAATATACCTTTACTCTTTGAAACAGAGCTAAAACACAGTAGTCTTGTCACAGTTACAATCTGTTGGCTGATATTCTTTCTTACACTCTTTAGATTTTTTCTATTGGTTTAATTCCTGAAATTTTACTTGGACTTCTGCTGTTAATATTCTGTTATTTCTAAACCAAATTATTCCTAGACATGTAATATCTGTAAGAGGAAGGGTGCTTCAATTGGATGTGTAGCTCCCAAATGCAAACGAAGTTACCATTTTCCTTGTGGGATACAAAAGGAATGTATTTTCCAATTCACAGAAGACTTCAGGTAAGTTCTGGGGTCTGTTGCCTTGTCATTTTCAATTAATTATATTTATACAGGAGGTGATTTTTTTATGGGCTGTCATTGGATAGGCTGTTAATTATAACAGGTTATCTAACTAAAAATATCTGATTTGTGGAAAATGTGAAGGCTAAGCAGTTATATTGCATACCTAGTACTTAAACTAAACTATCAGCACTTTTAAAGATAGAATCTAATGCTTCTACAAGTAGTTAAATGGTCTATAAAATTGAATATTAAATCCTAAGCTCTGAAATAAGCTGCAAAATGGTTGCTTTGGGGATTTTTGTTTACGTCCTGTGCCTTTTAAATGGCAGTGGCTTGGTTGCCTATCTCTCTCAATAGTCAAAACGTGTTCTGTTGTGTTTCAAAGCATAAGACTTGTAGATCTGCTTATTAGAGATGGACGGCAGGAGAAATGGGTTTAATAACAAATGTCTAAAAAAAAATTTTATTTTCTTTTACTGTCATCTGTCCAGCATCTTGGGTGTAGTCAAAATACTCTTGGGGTGCCTTTGATAACTGCTTTATTCTGCCTACTGTAAGCTCAGCTTGTCGGGTGGGAGGGTTGAAGTCTGGCAGGCACTTTAACTTCTTAAATAAATGACTACTCTTGAAGTCAAGCATGTGTAAAAATAAGTTTTCAGAAAGGTTTCTTCTAGAGCTGCATTTGTTGGCTGTCTTATTTCTTTGAATATGTGCTAAATTATAAAACTTATTACTATACCTAGCCTCTGCAGAATCAATATACAAACTCAAAATTGCTCCTTTAACGCCATGGTAACTTCGAAATACAGTAAGAACTTGAGGTTCCAAGGACAGGAAACACATTGTTTGGACTAAAAGTAGTTCTGACAGAAAGAGAGTATATGATCTCTGTAATTTACAGAGCATCAGTTGGCAACATACCCCTTCCTTACTAGTTAAAAGTTCAGTTGACTTGCTGTGTTAGATACATAATTTGTTTGCATGTGTGTTGTGGTTTAACCCTTGATAGACAGCAGAGCACCACACAGCCATTTGCTCACTACCCCCAATGGGAGTGGGAGAATCAGAAGGGTAAAAGTGGGTTGAGATAAAGACAGTTTAATAAGTAAAGCAACAGCTACATGCACAAGCAAAGCAAAATAAGGAATTAATTCACTACTTCCCATCAGTAGACAGATGTTCAGCTATTTCCAGGAAAGCAAGGATTCATGAGTACCGTTACTTGGGAAGACAAGTGCTGTAATTCCAAATGCCTCCTCCTTCTTTCTCTCAGTTTTATTGCTGAGCTTCATGTCATGGTATGGAATATCCCTTTGGTCAGTTGGGCTCAGCTGTCGCAGCTGTGTCTGCTTGCAACTTCTTGTGCGCCCTAGCCTGCTCACTGGTAGGGTGGTGTGAGGAGCAGAAAAGGCCTTGGCTCTGTGTAATCACTGCTCATCATTAACAAAAACATCCCTGTGTTATCAACACTGTTTTCAATAGAAATCCAAAACACAGTACCGTAAAGCTACTATGAAAAAAAATTGACTATCCCAGCCAAAGCCAGTACATGTCTGCCTTTTTACAATGTTGCACATCATTTATTCATGGAAATCAGGTATAAAAGGGAATTCATTTTATCCTCAAATTTTATGAGGAAGGTTCTTAAAATGTCCTTTTAATAAAGGAACCTTAAATTATTATTTTTAGGTCTTACTGTTGGGAACATAAACCAGTCCAAAATTTTCCAGATACAGAATCTAGAGGAACTTCACAGTGTACAATATGCCTGGATTTGGTTGAACACCTTCCAATGTACACTGTATTGAAAAGTCCTTGCTGTAAAAACGCTTGGTTTCATCGAGAATGCTTGCAGGTAACACAGGTTCTCCCTTTATTTCTCTTTGCATCCACAGAGATCACATTTCTGTTGTGTTTAAAAATACTGGAACAATTGCTTAAAATTGTCTAAAACTGCTTAGGGTTAATGTAAGCAGTAGGTATGGAAATTACTAGTTTGAAGGACAATGCTAAAATTGTGTTTTGGAGATTAGTGTCTTTCAAGAAGGATTTTTTTTTTTAATGTTTTAAATTCCTTACCCCAACATGTTTCTGCATGTGTGTTACACTTTATGCCTTTATTTTTAGGAACTGAAGTCCAAACTAGGTAGTTGTCTTCTTGCAAGTCATTATGTGCAGAATGTAACGGCTAAAAATGTAATTTATCCATCATCAATTCTCTTTGCCTAAGTCCAGAGCTTGAAAAAGTTGTAAAATCTTCTTGTAAACTCATTCTAGATTTGGAGAGGTTGACTGAAAAGTATTGTGCTTTTGTTTATGAACCTCATTCTAGCATGTGAGCTCTTGTGCTTTAAAGGAAGACAAAAAGCTTGCCATTTGCTTCAGTGTCAAGTAACATGATCCATGTGAAAACAATATATATGAATGTAATTGTTATAGATATTAAGGCATTATTTATTAGCATCCTAAAGATGGTACTAATTCAATAACTGGTTTGGGGTTTTTTGTTTTTTGTTTATGCAGTATCAAGCTTTGAGTGCTGGGATATTTTTCTTTAGGTGCACAGTATGTAATAACAAGGACAAATTTCAGAAAGAAATGTTGAGAATGGGCATATATATTCCAGAAAGGTAAGTAATTCTGGAAATAACTCTTCTATAGAAACTTCAATAGGGTCTGAACACCACTTTTTGTTTGTTCTATAAACTGCATCTAGTAACTTGTGAAACTTCTGTTCTAACTGCAATGCTAGAATTGTTTGGTAAAGAGTAGACTGGTTTTTTTTAGTTATGCGTAAAAATTGTCAAAGGCCTAATAAGTCATCTCAAACATAAAACAGGAAGCTCTGAAAAATAATTTTTAATGCCTTGATTCAACCAGGGACCAAAACACATTAAATACAATAATTTTGCATTAACATAGAGGTTGCTGAAAAGTGTATTTTATGTGCCCAAGGTTTTAAATTACCTGAATTTCTGTCCAAACAGTATTATAATGGACTGATTACTCAGCTGGTACACCGTCTGCCTTCTCCTCAGGGATTGCTAAGGATATGTCTAGTATAAAAACTCTTCTAAAACCCTCAGCTGTCTTTCACAAGTTTCCACCATTTAATGAAGCTCAAAATAAGACAAAGTGATCAGAAGTATTATTCTTGAATAATAATTATTCTTTTCAGAGACTGTCCTTAATTCCTCCCAGGGACAGAAGCTCAAGATTTTGGAGAGGAAAAAGGGTCAAAATACTTGATGAAGTTTGCTGTAATGGCCTGGAAAATTCTGAGTTACTTTTCATGAGGCCATTTTCAGTGGTAACATGAGTAGAGTGCCAAAACAAATGTCTGTGTCTGCTGTGAGAGAGAAGGTGGCATATGAAGCAGAGCAAACATGCCGTGAGGTCATGTGCAAAATATAAATACGTGAATCAAAGTAACTGTACACACTTAAAGTACATAGTATTTTTCTTACTGTGTTTGTTCCTAGACTTTTTTTCTTCCCCATCTCTGTTGTCTAGTTGTTGCCTAGAATCATGGAAAGGTTTGGGTTGGAAGGGACCTTAAAGATCATCTAGTTCCAACCCCCCTGCCTTGGGCAAGGACTGCCTCGGCTAGACCAGGTTGCTCCAAGCCTCATCCAGCCTGGCCTTGAAGACAGCCAGGGATGGGGCATCGATAGCTTCTCTTGGCAGCCTGGTCCAGAGCCTCACCACCCTCTCTGTGAAGAACTTCTTCCTGGTATCTAATCTAAACCTCCCCACTTTCAATTTAAACCCATTATCCCTTGTCATGTCACTACAGGCCCTTGTAAAAAGTCCCCTCCCAGCTGCCTTGTAGGCCCCCTTCAGGTACTGGAAGGCTGCTATAAGGTCTCCCGGGAGCCTCCTCTTCTCCAGGCTGAACAAGCCCAATTCTTGCAGCCTTTCATCATAGGAGAGGTGCTCCAACCCTCTGATCATCTTTGTGGCCCTCCTCTGGACTCGCTCCAAGTGGTCGATATCCTTCTGATATTGGGGGTTCCACAGCTGGCCGCAGCACTCCAGGTGGGGTCTCACCAGAGCAGAGGACAGGGGCAGAATCACCTCTCTCGACCTGCTGGCCACTTTTCCTGATGCAGCCCAGATTACATTACTGAAATATCTTCATATGATTATAACCTACATCTTCTCCAAAGACAGAGTAACCCATGCAAATAGAAATACAGTTATAATAACAGATCTTCTGCCTTATTTATAGGGATGCATCTTGGGAACTTGAAGAGAATGCATATCAAGACCTACTGCTATGTTATCAACACTGTGACGTTAGAAGATGTCTCTGCAAGAAAGGAAGAGACTACAATGAACCTGATAGGTATGACATAATGTATAACCTAGGATTGAACAGTTCATTGGTGTGTTCATATTGAAATGCTTCAGTACTTTTCAGCATTGGGTTTTGATGCCAAGACACTGTGACCAAATAATATGTTTGGTTTAGTCCCTATAATAATTATCTTTCAATACTAATTTTCTCTAATTTCATAAGGTGTTAAAAACCAAGAAACTTAAACCAATTGATTATCAGTTACCTTGTCCTTGTTCTCTGATACAGAGCTGAAGTAGAATTTCTACATCCACATAACAGGTTTAATAGTATGTGTCTAAACTAATACTCTGTATCTTTCATTCATAGCTTAATAATTTAAGAATTGCTAGAATACTTAATACTTACAAAATTTAATTAGAATACTAGACATAGCAGAAAATGAACTAACTGTGTAAAATCAATCTGAAAATTAAACTACCTGTGAGCTATCCCTCTGTATGCAAATGGCAGCTAGAATGCTGATACCTTAATGACAGGCTTGGTCAATAAAGTAAAAGGCTTTATTTTGCTCTACCACTTGCTTAATTTTTGATTACCAAGTTTATTTTCTTTCTTTTTTGTTTGTGTGTTTCTGAAATGTCTATCTTCTGCTGGCATGAGTATACTCAAAGCTATCAGAGCTTTGAAGACTTGTTTCTGTAGTACTGTGGTAGGTTACTCCCTGTAGATACTAACTTTGCTTTGTAGAGATTTGATCAAACATTGGGGTTTTTTTTCATGGTATGTGTGCATCTGTCGTGGTTTTCTGGTATTTTCTGCCAGAATCAAATCCCCCTGAGGCACACAGCAGACTTCCCCATCTTCAGTCATTACCCACCGTGTGTATCCACGTCCTTGAGCAAGAGCAACCCCACAGATGGGTTTGCCTTTGCCCAGGGTGGGAGTAACCCAGACTGTTTTTCCCAGCATAGTTCTAGCATGTACTACAGGGACTTCATCTCCTTCTACAGTCCGTAGAAGGTTTGAGTGTGCAGGGCCAGCTCGATTGACAGACCCCTGGTATTAACTAACCAAGTGGCCTTTGCCAAGTTGTCATCCCAGTTCCTGAGTGTTCCACCCCTCACTGCTCTCAGGGTCGTCTTTAACAGCCCATTGCACCGCTCGACCTTACCTGAGGCAGGTGCATGGTAGGGGATGTGGTACACCCACTCATCCGTGTTCTTCAGCCCAAGTGTCTATGAGGCTGTTTTGGAAATGAGTCCCATTGTCTGATTCAATTCTTTCTGGGGTGCCGTGTCGCCACAGGACTTGACTTTCAAGGCCCAAGATGGTATTTTGGGCAGTGACATGGGACACAGGCCTCCACCATTGTGAGAGAGATTCACACTCTAAGGAGCCTGGCATTCAAATGGTCTAAATGATTCTGCCAGTAAAAAAAGCTGATATTCAATGAATATAAATCTAATAAGGTTATAAATTTTTAAGTTTTTTTCATTCAACCTGTAAGTAATATATCTGACAACTCAGGCAGATGTCAATAAGGTGTTACTGTGGGACATTTTAACCGGTGCTGTTGGGTTAAGAACAGATAAAGTGAGATTCAGAGTGACTAGCTGGGAACATCCAACTCAGATATTACAATAATTAGATTAATAACTCCTGTTAGAATTGGCAAGTTTGGACTGTAACATATTTCACATAACTGAAATAATGTAAAAGCTAGGTATTTAGTTGAAGATACAGGGTTTCTCTTCAGACAGAAAAAAACAGCTGTCATGGTTTAACTCCAGCTAGCAAAATACCACGAAGCCGCTCTCACAAATCCCCCACCCCTCCTCCAGTGGAGGGGAAGAATCAGAGGAAAAAGAAATAAGGAAGCTTGTAAAATTGAGATAAGAACAATTTACTAATTAAATCTCAATTAATATATACAAATACTACTACTACTAAATAATTAAAATAATAGAAAATAAAACATATGATACGGTTTCTCACCACCCACTGACCAATGCACAACCAGGGGTTGAGTAGTGAGAGTCAGACCCAGAGAACCTGAGAGCTGCAGCCTGAGAGCGATCGCAGCAGATTCCAAACAAACCCATCAGCCATAGCAAGACCGGGAAAACTAAACA